CCCCCCCATTTATATTCCATTTTGCCACCTTCTCATTTTCCCTCCCCTTTGGAATTGATACCAGGAAGAACCTAGAATCAGCAGTTTCCCCTGGCGGGCTCTATTATCTAACCCAGGAAATTTCATCTTCCTACAAATGGGCCTCTCTTCGTGGCTGCCCTTCCCCACACTAACGCAGCTCCTCTTCTCCACTTATTAATTTCTCCCTGTTACTGAGTAAATACTTGCTGCATGGCAAAAGTGAACGCTTGGATTTGGTTTCAGCTGGAAGAAAAAACCTGTAATTGTAGCCTGGCCTTTTCCTAGTGGACTTCCCTGGGGGCCTGGCCTCACATGGAAGGTGCTGAGCTTCCAGAAGTCAGACAGGCCCGGCCCACTGGAGCCACCTGCCCGGCCAGAGCCTGTCCTCTGTGCATGGTCCCCACAAGGGGCAGCCTCAGCTTCCTCCCCAGTGTACCGCAGAGCTGGAGAGCTCGTAAGCAAGCTGCAGACACGAGCAGACAGTCCCTCTCTGTTCTGTCTGTCTTCATCCAGGAGTGTTCTGGATGAATCGATTTCATAGTCTTTGAACTTAGCCTTGTGGTGGCACAATTCACCTTCCAAACAATTCAAAAAGAAGCAGAATTAGAGCTGTGTGTATGTTATGTATCTAGATGTAGAAGTGGAATTGGATGAGGTAGGTCTGTCCTTAGAAATGATGGCTGGTGTTTCACTGGGCGCAATGTTTTGTGCCACCTCTGTAAGGAGGGTTTTTCCTGAGCTGTGAGGGGCTGAGGTGCCGAGGCCCCCAAAGGTGCAGCAGCAGCTGTCTATCCCCTCTCAGGGCAGCCAGGCCCCCTGTGCTGCCAGAACAGGCTTCATGTATTATCCATCAGTTATGTTCCTCTTTCTTTCCCCAAACCCTTCTCTTTTAATGTCACCTTTTTCAGGCCATTGGAACTTAGAGCACCCTAACAGTAAAGAGTATGTACATTTCAGCATGAGGACTTCATGAATTGTTCTTGGATTGTTCGGGGTGTCTCTGGTTTTTGTTTTGTTTTGTTTTGCTTTTTTTAGGGTGTCTCTGTTTTTAAACATTCTTATTCACAGCTGAAATTCTGGATAGTTGAGGCTCCCAGAGAAGCTATTTTTGTGGGTTATTTCTCGAGTTCTGGATCTCAATGGTGATTTGCTCTATCATTTAATATAATTTGAAGACTTTTCTAACCCAGATATTTAGCTTTGTATTCCAACCCTGGCTTTTATTAGGTATAAGATGATACAGTGATCATCCATATGTTGCTAATAATAATTATTCTTATTGTTATATGACTTTGGTCTTATTATGACAACTTGGGTACTTGTGATCTGCCCCAGGCTGGTCTCGTAGTCAGGTGACTCTGAGCGTCCCGTCTGCCTTCATCTCATCTGTAAAACATCCCAGGGAAGCAGGCAGCGGTGGGGAAGCTGGTGGACAAGACGTTACCTAAGGTCCTTAGCATGTTGAAATGATATGATTTTGATTTAAACCTAATTCGTTACACTTCCTTTCCCGGTTAGATATTTATCAACAATGACTGGCATGAATCCAAGAGTGGAAAGAAGTTTGCCACATATAACCCGTCAACTCTGGAGAAAATATGTGAAGTAGAAGAAGGAGATAAGGTGGGTCCCCCCCCCAAGTAATTCAATTATAGATAAGTGAAGGATAAGGAAGCACTGCAGCTTAGCTATGAGGTAGATTGGCCCCACCCTTGGTAGGGCCTGGGGAGCCACTGCAGTCAGTCCTCACCATGTGCAGCTCAGTCACAAGGCCCAACATGGGATTAATTACAGACTGTCTTCTGCAGAGAGTCCCTGCCTTTGATAGATGTTTCCCCATCCCGGAGGATGACCTCAGCGGTCTGCGTCACATAGTGAAAGGAAAGGTTTTTATCAATTATTTGAACCTGGAGGCATTAAAGAATCTTCCCAGAAAGCATTTCCGGCTGGTGTGTTTCACCAAATGGAGCTTTCTGGTAAGAGATACTTTTTTAAAAACCTGAAGGAAGAAAGACGAGCTCCTCACGTGATATGCAGGGTGGCAGTAATGTCGCATACGCAGAAGGTTTCTTTCCTACTGGACACTTACATGTCTGTGGAAAGCTATAGTCTGTACAGCCCTCTGGGCTGGTGCAGGGCCTGTATCATTCAGAGAAGCTGAGGGACTTCTGGATATATCCTTGGTACATTTCAAAGCCATAAAGTAAATTTTGAGTGGGAGAGCCATTGAAGAAAAGGTTAAGGTCTTCTGTAGAAAGAAACGTGAATGATTCCTCACTGTTTGAGCACAGGACAGATTTTTTTACTTGCAACAAGGCCTCTTTATGTTGCCAAAGCTGGCCTGGAACTTTGGGCGCAAGCAAACCTCCAGCCTCGGGGCCAGGGATTTAGCTCAGTTGTTTTGCTGCCTGCTGCGCAAGTGCAAGGACCCGAGTTTGATCCTCGGTACAAAAAAAAAAAGAAAAAGAAAAACAAGCAAACCTCCAGCCTCCTGAGTAGTGGGGCTACAGGGCCTGCAGGTGCTAGGTGGATACTCTTCATCTGTGCATCGATGATGTCGGAATGTGTGGGGTGCAGTATGTGTGGGTAAAGCTTTCCTCCCAGCTGTGGCAGTTTTGTGATTCGTGTACAGTAGCCAGCAGCACACCTTCCTAGATCTTCCTCCACCTGGCTCCTCATGCTGAGCTCTGCTGACCAAGAGGGTGGCAGAGAGGAGCAGATGGGAAGCTGTGAGGGCCTGGCAGGGAGGGCCTAATGCTGAGTAGGAGGGAGGGGCCCTATACAGTGTCTCGGAGGAAGCCCAGACCTTCCCAGGCACTGGTTTTCCACTTGTTTGGGTAACTTCTCTGAGCACCTGGAGGCAGAAGCCACCCTGTCCCCTGCAGCTGGAGAAGTCCTGACCTCCACCCCAGAACCCCAAACAGGGAATCCAGTGTCCCTGCATTTCCCTGGCCAAAGCTTCTGTGCCCCCCACCCAGCAAGCTTAGAGACAGAGTTCTGGTGGAGTCGCTGCCTGTCTCCAGAGGGAGCCCTTGGGGATGAGCCATTGTTCGACAGCAGACAGACCCGGGAAGTTTATTTTTGTGACAACAGCAATAAGTGTTGCCCCTCTGAATAGATCTCACTCTAAGAAGAAAGCTCAGGGCTAGAGTGCAGCTCTCCCAAAGCCTTCATTCCATCCTAGCACAGCAAAAAAATAAAAAACAGAAAGGGTTTTGTTATCATTATTCTATCCTTGTCTATACAACACTGCAACAATTCCGTCCCCACGGGGTATGAAAGGCTGAAGGAAGAGCAAAGGCCTCCTGGCCACCAAAGCCCTTCCTGGCCTGCAGACTTTTCCAGTGTGCTCAGTTCTTCAGTCTACAGAAGCGAGAATCCTCCACTCTCACTCCCAGACCACCATTCTCAGCGGGAATGAAAACCCAGACAGATACGTCCCACCTAGTTCATGCGTTCAAACTAGCTAGCACATGGAAATCTTTCCATTCCTCAGGTTACCAAGAAAAATACTCAAGGTCGGTGACTATGTTTTGAAATGCTCTTATAATCAGGGGACTAACTCTTGGCCATTATGGAAATCTGGAAAAAGACTTAAAGAAAAAAATCACTTGAAAGCCCCCAGCCAATTAGGCAATTGAACAACTCACTGGCGCTTGCAGCTAATCTGCTACTCGCTCCTTCCTCTGCTCTGCCACAAGACAGGGACTGTGCCCCTGGGCCCCGTAGCCAAGCGGTCCCAAACTGCAGTTGCATTCAGAGGTGACACTCTCTCTCTCTGTGTCATTTTGGCCACTCAGCCCGATGTGGACAAGGCCGTGGAGGCCGCGCAAGCCGCCTTCCAGAGGGGCTCCCCGTGGCGCCGGCTGGATGCTCTGAGCCGAGGCCAGCTGCTGCAGCAGCTGGCCAACCTCCTGGAGCGGGACCGAGCCATCCTGGCCGTGAGTACAGGTGCCTGGAGGGAGGCACGGAAGGAGGGCCCTCCCTGGGGCCTGTTTTCACGGGGTGCTGGCCGTAAGTGGCCGTGGACCTATTGGTCCTTTGAGGCAGCTGGAGTCCATGTTGCCAGACTTCATCTTTCTTATTTTGAAGTCAGACTTTTGTCCCCTGCCATTCAGCTTCTTGACGGAGAAGTTGCCTGAAGGAAGCTGAGCTGCACCAGTATCTCCCAGACGTGGAACGGGCTGGGCAGTACCCTGGTCCTACCTGGGTTTTGGATACTTACGGGGTTTTTTCACATTAACTTTCTTTTAAACTTCAATTTAACCTCATCCTAAGTGCAATTGTCCCCCTTTCTCTGAAGTTTCCCTTTCCATGGCTTTACTTACTCACAGTTAACAATGGGTCAAAGACATTAAATGGAAATTTCCATTCGTGAGTTTTATTATAGTATGTTGTTATTGTTCTATCTTATTATTCTTACTGTTGTTATTCTCTGACTGTGCTTGATTTATAGGCTAAATTTTATCATGAGTATGTATGTATGGGAAAAAACAAAATGTATGGAGTTAGGTATTATCTGCAGTTCTCTGGGTTTATTGCATAAACTATCACTAATAATGATATCTAACTGTGTGACAACAATCCGTTTAGGGCCTTCAGCAGAGTCCCCGGCGTGTTACAGTAGGCACTAACTAGATGATTGCTATCATCAGTACTAGTGTTATCATAGTAATGCTGCATGAAGCCCGGGCTCCAACCCCACTTTGTGCCTTGCCGGCCTGTAATGTTTAAGTCTCCTAATTCCTCAGCTGTGGAATGGGGATATTAATGCTGCCCAGCCCCTGACACTAGACTGCTCCTGGGAGACTGGGCCGAGAAGGCCTGAGTAAGTGGTAAACACGTTATCTGACACCATCTTCAGAACTTCTTTGGGTCCCGAGGTGGAGACTGAAGGACATCTTGGAGCTGCTGGGGGCCTTGAGCTCTACTACAACCAACACATCCAGTTGGTGAGCAGCTAGGACTTCTGTTTTTAAAACTTGTTCCAAACCTTGACACCAAGTTTGTAGGAGAGGAAATCTCCTTTTTGGCCTTTGATTTGGAAAATTGGTTTTTCTGAGGTTGGGAACAAGAAGTAGAATGACCAGCCCTTTAAAGGCCAGTGTTGGCCAGGACACCGAAATTGCTTTTGTCCCGGAGTGCGTCTTGGGGGTAGAAGAGCTCCTGGGTGTTTCCCCGAGGACACATCTATGCAGAAACAAATTCCCCTCCCTCCCTCCCTCCTTCCTTCCTTCCTTCCTTCCCTTCCTGCCTGCCTGCCTGCTGCTGCCTCCCTCTCTCCCTCCCTCCCTGGCTGCAGGTGGCCACATTCACCCAAATCCCACTGAAGGTGTTTCCCTCCCAGGGTAGCGCTTCTCTCCACAGAGCCCTTGGTTTCTTCCTGTGCCCGCCTGAAAGCCAGCCTCAACTCTCAAGCTGCCAAACTGGCTTTTGCAAAAACATTTCTGTTTTCCTCAGCATGAGCTCATCAGTCTGCAATGTCCGTGTGGACTAATAGCAGGCTCAGAGGATGTGCCCTGGGCACCCCTCCCTGCCCTGTCCCCAAGTGTCAGTGTCACCCTGGGTGCAGCCCTGCAAGGCCACCTTCCCCTTCAGCTTGCCCCTTTGTCCAGCATGACTGTGTTTTGACAGCAGACAGAGGGGCACTGGAGGAACTCTGGAGGCCACCCAGCAAATCACTTCTGCTCCTGGGACTAGGGTGCCCACAAGAAATAAAATCCAGCTCCTTGCCACAACATGAAAGGGATAAGACAATGAATGACTGGCAAATATGGTTTTAAAACTCTGGCCACATCCTAGGAAGGTGTCCTCATGCTCCATCTTGATATGGTTTCCTGCCTTAAGCAGCAAAGTGCTTCATTCCACCGTACTCTTGCCACCTCGGTGGTTTGACGGAGCTGGGTGTTTGTTCTGTCTGCATGCACCTGTGGGCCGGTCTGGTGGCCCCTGACTCTCTCCCTTGCAAAGCCACCCTGGACCCAGGCTCTGGCTCTTTGCGAGCTGCTCATTTTGGGAGCTCCCTGCATATTCTCTTTTCCAACCTGAGTGCCATTTCTGGGCTCCCTGGCTTTAGGCCTGGGCATGCTGGCAGCACAGGGGCAATGCTGCCAGTGCTTTTCCACCCTTCCTCAGCATCTGAGAGTTGCCATGGATTAATTTTTCAGAAGGCACATTTTTCCCTTAAAATCTTAAAGGAAATAATCTTAGGAGTGGCTCTGCTTTACTAGTGGTTGAACCACAACAATAAGTCTAAGCTTAGGAAGCAACTGTTCCGTTAAGTAGCAAATGCTTGATTTCTCAGGTTCAGTCCTGTGAGTGCATTCACCTGTGAATTCTTTTTTTTTTTAAAAGAATTTTCTGTCTAAAACTATTGTGACCTAAGTTTTGCTTGGATCAATTCCATAAAAACAGCCTTGAAAAATTATGTTATCGCTGCTCCTTGGCCAAGCTGATGATAAAAAAAAATAATCAGCTAATGCTTGTTAACTACTCACCGTGTGCCTGGTTTGCAGGCACCTGACCTATGGCATTGATTTTCCCATCTCAGAAATGAGGAAACTGAGGCCCAGAGAGGATAAGCAACGTGTCCACGTTCGCTCTGCCTGAGGTAGAAAGGTAGAACTGAAAGCAGATAATTGGTTTCATGCCCTGAACTTACTCACAGTGCTACATCAAAGTCCTCTTCGTTGTCCTGTCCCAGAAGAGACATTGTCTGGAACAGCGAAGTCCTGGAGGCCTTTTGGTATCATTTGCCATTGCTAGGCTTCTCCTGGGAAAATGAAAGTCCAACTTGGAATGTCCGTCCATAGACGCTCAAGGCACAGTTTATTGGATGTCACCCTGAACTGACCTGTTCCCTGAGTGTAACTGCTATGGGTGGAACTTGGGCCCAGGGCCCAGGCCGGTCCTGTCACCCCTGGTAGCTCCCAGCCCTGTCTCCTTTGTCCCCTAGGTAAAGACTGCCAAGCCCCTGTCTGTGCCTAGAGGGAAAATTACAGTCTTCATCGATCATTATATGCACCCTTGCACAGTACTCACCTGGGGCCACACTGTGCTTGGTGCTCATGTTTTTTGACCTCCCTGACTCTCACACGTGTTCTAGGAAGGAGGTCCCATTATTGTTCTCATTTTGCAGATTTGGAAACTGAGGCGGGGGGAGGGGAAATTCAGGGACTTACCCAGGCCACTCAGCTGGCATTCGCCAGAAGTGGTTGCCTCCTGTGGAGAGGGGACTTGGCTCAGCCCTGTGGCAGAGATCAGATAAGAGGAGGCCACAGCATCTCAAGCCTTCCAAGGTGCGTGCGCCCTGGGGTGGTCACTGCGTGCGCGGTGGACGTCAGACACTGAATTCAGTGCTGGCTATCTCAGTGGTCATGGCTGAGTCACCGGGCTCTGTTAGCCTAAATATCTGTACCTTCAAGTGGGAACTGAGGCGTCCAGCTCAGAATGGGACCTATGCATGCATCCGGGTCAGAGGAGAAGGGAGGGCCCTTTCTTCCTTTTTACAGCATCATCTCACTCCATTGACGCTTCAGCAGGAATCCAGCCCTGGGCTATGTGTCAGGGTGGCCACTTCCTGCAGAGATCCATGACTGGCGGTTTCAGTGCAGGCTCCACTGGGGCTGCTTGTCTGAGGGACAAAGGAGTTCTCTTTTACCCAGGCTGGAAATAGAAAAGAATCCCTGCCATTGAGCGCCCACTGCTCGCCTGGAGAACCACCTCCCTCTGCGGCCAGCCAGCATGCTCCTCGCCTGACGCTGCATCCGGCTATGAGGCACACTAGGAAAGCATCACATCTTTGTGCTGGTGGCTTGACCCTCTGAGCTGTCACTCTTTCCAGCTGAGCAGAGAGGGAAGAACCAGTGCCCTTCTTGCTTTGGTTAAAGAAGCCACTCTGTCCTCAGCTCCTGAGATACACAAGCCCAGGTGTCCAGGTCACACTGCTGAGGCCTCTGGGCCCTGGACAGAAGACCCCCAACACCCATGTGGATCCCTTCCCACCAAGGCTTCAAATGAGCCTTGCAGGGGATGTAGTCCATGCTGCAGCTCAGCCCCCAGCTTCAGGGCTTTGGGAATGAAAGTGGTCCTTGCTGATCTGGGACAGGTGGATTTCAGTTTAGTGTTGTGCTTTCTGAAGTGACACTTGGGGGCCGTGGATTTAGCTCAGTGGCGCTGCACCTGCCTCGCAAGTGCAAGGTCCTGAGTTCAATCCCCAGTACTGGAAAAAACAGACAAAAAAACAAAACAAAACAAATGAAGTGACATTTGGGGCTGAGATCTAAACAGCAATGTCTTAGGACTGTGTCCCCCCCACACACACACACCTTTGACAAGCTCACAGTTGGAAAGAAAGGAAAGCCACTTCTGCAGTGGGTGTCATCTTGTCATTGCAGACCCTGGAGACGATGGATACCGGGAAGCCCTTCCTGCATGCCTTTTTCATTGACCTGGAGGGCTGCATTAAGACCTTCAGATATTTTGCAGGGTGGGCAGACAAAATCCAGGGCAGGACCATCCCCACAGGTGAGCCAAGACAGGACAGACTCTCCCCTCCTTTGGGGTCTCTTTGGGGCTCTGTCACCTCCTCCTGCTGGGCCTCCTTACTGGTCTCTCCCTCCCCCAGTGGCACTGTACTGAGTCTTCTTCTAAGAAACTTATTCACCTTGAGGGGGCCAGTATGCTGAGGATCGAGCCCAGAACCCCACACAGGCTAGACAAACACTCTTCCACTGAGCTACTCCTTTAACCCTTTCACTCACTATGAACTTGAGTTGAAATCACTTCTTTGTGCAATAGACAAGACAGGAACCCTTGTGGGCTTCTAGGTTTCTTTGTCTTTCTATCCTTGAAATTCTTCACCCTGATTAAATGATTGAGTCTGTCCCCCGCCTGTCACCTCTCTTGCAGATGACAATGTTGTGTGCTTCACTAGGCACGAGCCAGTCGGGGTGTGTGGGGCCATCACTCCAGTAAGTACAGCAGATTTTCCTGAGAGATCCAACACAGGTAGTACCCCACTGCCCTGCATCCTTTGGAACCAGTTTCTGGTGTGCTTTGTCCACAGCACCGTTGTTACTGAGGAGTTGCTTGGTGGCATGGAGCTCAGTGGTCAAGGGTTCCTGACATGGGTTAGGCCCCATGGCTGCTGTAAGACCCTGGCTCTAGATGGGCACCAGAAGGCATGGTGGGTCCCAGTTGGAGGGATCAGGCATGGACAAGGTCCCTAGGGAGCCAGTCTCTCAGCTGGGCCCTGAAGGATAGAAAGGCTTCCCAAGCAGTAGGAATGGCCTGAGCAAAGATGTGGCCCACTTAGAAGGGGGTGGTGGCGATGCTGGTGCTGGGCGGGTGGGGGGGATGAGCTCGTGTGTCAGGTGACCTGGGCCAGCTTCAGCTGCCTTGGCTGCCAAGGAGGGATGGGGACTTTAGTCACTGAACCATGGGATGCTCGTAGGAGCCTGGGGAATGCAACAATGCTCCCCATCCCTTTGGGAAGCGCCGGGCCACTGCAATGGCAGCTGGGCAGCGAACAGGGGAGATAGGTGGCATCAGGAAGGAAGGGCTGAAAAAGTGCTTTATGGCGATCAGGAGGGCAGCAAACATTTTGGAGGGGCTGAAGTAGTCCACGTGCAGCAGATCCTCTTTGCAAAGGCTGCCAGTTAGCATTCGCCAGGATGCAGCTTAGCAATTCCCAGGATGCTGGGCAGGAATTCTGATATTGCCTACTCCTATGTTATCCCTAAAGCCCCAAATCTAGATGAAAGGCACATGCCTTCCGCGGAGGCATCACTGGGCACCTGGGAGGGTGGGTCCAGGCTTTTCCCTGTGCTCTGTCCCAGTGGAACTTCCCCCTGCTGATGCTGGCGTGGAAGCTGGCACCCGCCCTGTGCTGTGGGAACACCGTGGTCCTGAAGCCAGCCGAGCAGACTCCCCTCACTGCCCTTTATCTCGGCTCACTGATCAAAGAGGTAAGATGTCCGAAAAGAAACTACGTGCTCTTGATAACATTCCCACTCCTGGGAACCAGGTCAGCGTCCCAAGACGTGACAGTGGCAGCCAGCTCCTGCAGAGAGGGAAGGGAATGACGCCTGTGATTTGCCTGGTGGCTATGCTGTCTTCCTCCTGCTTGTGGTCACTGAGCTGGAAGAAGCGCCCTTCCTCCCAGTGGTGCTAATGGGAACGCGTCACTCTTATTATGGGCTCAAACCTATGGCTTAGGGCTCCGTGTTTTGTCTAGAGTGTCTGCAGGGGGTGACCCGAGGGAAAGCCGAAGGTCCAGTAGCTTCCTGGGCTCTGCACTGCTGGGGTATGAAATGGTCCTTTTCTCTCCAGGAGCAGGGGCAGTGCCCGCCTCCCGATCAGCACCTTCTGTTCTGCCCTGTGGGCAATCCCCACCCTCGCCCAGATAGCCACAACTCAGGGAAACAGCGGCCCAAAGGGACACCTTCTCCCAGACACACCTGGCAACATATTTTAGTCATTTTATCATCAGCTTGTATGTAGCAAAGATTGAGAGGAAAGAGACTGTAGGAAAAGAGGGACAGGAGAAAAGATCCATTCATTTCATCTCGTCTGGGTTAATACCCAGATCAAGGCCGGACAAGCAATAATCAACCAGTTTTCACTTCTCTTCGACTGACGATAGAGAGCATGATCATCCAAGTGATGAGGCTTGAGGGTCCCAATATCACAGCGTTAAAAATTGGTGGCTAGGAAACTAAAATCTTGGCTTTTAAAAATAACGTTTTCAGTGTGATGCGGGGCACCTTTGGGAGATGCCCCCACCTCACTCAGTTTGTGGCATCCTTGTGAAGGAGGGGGCCTTGTGCGTGCAAACATGGGTGTGAGTGTGAAAGAACCAGGTGTGTTCATCCTCAGCGTGACCCAGGATGAGCAAGCAGAGGACACAGAGGGGATGGCTTTCTTGTTCCATTCTGAACATAAATGGGGCAGATTGAAAACTGAATGCTATGGCTCCAGAGGAGTGTTTGCAGCCGCCTTGGGGCCTGGGAGGTGTGGCCAGGCACTTCTCCTTCCCTCAGTATGCACACTCAGATGCACTCACATACACTGTCTTCCACACACCGATACGAGTGCACACACGATAGTATAGTCACACGCTCATATGTGTGACTTACTCGTGCATGCATGCATACATAGGCACACAAGCTTTCACACACACACACGCACACTCACACAACACACAGGCACTGAAAGGTGCCTTGCTACACGAGGACCACTGCCACCTTGTGGTCTCACTGCACATTTGCCCAGGGCCTGGAAGGGGAAGGGTGTACCACAGGACCCAGCCTGCAGCCTGGGCAGCGGCAGGGGTGAGGACCCCAGGCCAGCCCCCGGGTGCCTGCAGCCGAGCGTGCCTGAGTCCTGGGTTTCTGTGTGAAGCGGCTGTGCTGTGCTCCCTGCCGAGGGCGCAGCTTCTCATTCTCTGATGCTGGCTCCATTCTCCCCAGGTTGGGTTCCCTCCAGGCGTGGTGAACATCGTACCAGGATTTGGGCCCACGGTGGGAGCAGCAATTTCTTCTCACCCTCAGATCAGCAAGATAGCCTTCACCGGGTCCACAGAGGTAACTCCCCAGGCTAGGGGCAACATGGGTACCTACCCTAGACCCCCCAGCATCTCCTTGGAGAAGCTCGAATGTGACTTGTTTTCTCCTAAATTTGACCATGTTTTAATAATAAGGTTGGTTAAAAGTCACTGATCTAGCTTCTAAACTAAGTAAATACATAGTAGAAGCCTTAGAAGAAAAGACTGAGATAAGATAAAATAAAAATGTAAAACATCCATATGGCAAACATCATAATTAAGGCTAAGAGATAACCGAATAAGCTGAGAGGAAAGCAGGCATCTTGTTCAGCTCTTCCTGTGTGAAGTGGTCGTACAAATCAATGAAAAGGGATAAATGGAATGGTGAGACAGGCAGCTCAGAGGATATGAATGCTCTACGCTCAATAAAATTAGTTGACTTGTAATCAGAGAAATGATAGTCACCAACAGTCAGAGAAATGCACCTTCACGTAGAAATCAGACTCTCCTTTTATCTCTTAATTTGGTAAAAACTGAAATGGTGTCACTAAGAATATAGGATCTCACCTACACTGTTCCTCAGGTGGGAGGTGAGATTTAGGAATATCGATCAAACATTTCAAAGTGAAAAACTTTTGATTCAGATCCCATTTCAAAGAAACTACTGTATTTGGAGAAATATTCCCATGAGCATTCAAAAGCATATTTTCCAATGTGTCATACCTGACCTTTGAAATGTCTTACAGTCATTAGGTAGACAAGGAAAGATACCTGTGATCTACTGTGAGGTACAGAAGAGCCAACCACAGGAAATCATCTACAATAGGATCCCAGTAGTAAAAGTGGGGTGTGTGTGTATGTGTGTAGACATAGAAATTCTCTGGAAGAATTCCCAAGAAATTACTATGGCCACCTACGGGGTGTGTCCTGAGTGTTAGAGTGAGAGGAGACAGATCCCCTTTTAATTTATACACATCTACCTATGAAATTATTTTGAATGAGAAAGTTCTGTACTTAAAATAAATGAATGAACATTTCCCATGCAGTCAGTGTCCCCGTGTCCCTCCTCTTGGGTCCATCCAGGAGCCCACAGCCCCTTCCTGCAGCCCCGAAGGAGACGCTGCCTCCTTGGCAGCCAGGGTGGTCATCCTTACAGGTCATGGTCAGATGAGGCCCTAACTTAGAGCCGCCTTGTCCCGAGTGCAGCATTAAAACAGCCAGTGGTTGTCAGTGCTGACCAGAGCAGGTGCTCTACCCCTGGCTTCAGGGACAGGGGCCTGACTCCTGCCCCAGTGCGTCCTCGTCTTCCTCTGTCACCTCACCCAGTAGCAAAGTTGCCCCTGCCCCTGCCCCTGCCCAACTTCTCTGCAGACATCCTGAGCACTCTCTAAGTGACCATGGGTCCAGCTGGGTGGTGTCCTCCTCACTTAGCAATCAGCGTCAAGAACGCCCCCGGCACTGCTCAGCCACAGGCATCTCGGTAATGGGGTGCTTATGGGGTGCTTTTCTGCCTGGGTTGCCCTGCTGTCTTCAGCTGTAAGAACACAGCCCAACCTCTGGAAACAGGCAAGTGGGCTCTGCCACTGAGCTACAGGCCAGGCCAAGCATGCTTCTGTGTGTGGCCCTAGATTTTTTTTTTTTTTTGAGACAAGGCCCATCCAGGCTGGGTTCAAACTTTCAATGCTACTGCCTCAGCCTCTGAGTGCTGGAATTTCAGGCACCTGGCTTTACCGTTTACTTGTTGGATAAGTCAGCAGGGGGCATAGGGCCAGCCCGACTCTCCAGCAGTGGATGGAGACAGAGAAGCCCTGTGAGGTGCCCGCTCATGGGAGGCTGAGCTTTGCTATTTGTTGTCCAGTAGATGACCCTGTTACCTGTGACGGTCTTCCAGCCTGTTTCCAGTGGTGGCTCCTTTTCTCCTGAGAGTCACTGCCCTTGCTGCTTCTCTGACTCTGGAAGGTTCCCTCAGATTACACCAGAGCCACACAGACAATGCCCACCCCAGGCTGCCAGGATTTTAGCTGTTACCAGCAAGGCTGGGACAGGTGCCCCTCAGTGCCTTGAGCCCTTTACCAGCCTCGCTGGACAGCAGGCAGGGCTCACTGGGGCTATGCCCCAGCAGGTGGGCAGATAGCTGTGTCTACAGAGAAATCACTGGGTTCCCAGGAGCCCCCACCCACTGCTAGAAGTGAATCGGCTAAGACCATGGACTTCAGGAGCCTCGGTCTGGTTTGCAAGCAGGTGCTCCCAAGACCAGGGAGTGAATCCAGCTTGTGGCAAGGCCTAGGCACCCTGCAGAGGCAGATGGCCCTGGTCACACATTGCTACTTCCTGAGCTAGTCCAGAATGTTCGCGGATGTGTGCATTTGAGCCAGGTTAGGCCTCGTCCAGGTTCATTAGGCCTGTATCTCCTCCTGAAGGTTGGAAAGCTGGTTAAAGAAGCTGCATCCCGGAGCAATCTGAAGAGGGTGACACTGGAGCTGGGGGGGAAGAACCCCTGCATCGTGTGTGCTGATGCTGACCGTGAGTCTCAGCCTGGCCTGGGTGCGACTTGGCCTTTAGGACACCCTTAGATCTCTGCCCACTTCCAGGCCCCAATTCAGATCCATTTGAGAGAGAGACAGGCAGGCACAGACTCACAGTGGGGCTCTTTTCCGCCTTAGGTCAGTCTGCCCGCCACCCTAGAGCAGGCAGGGGGAGATCAGAGCACCGGCTTTGTGGCTGACAGAAAGCTGCACTGGAAAGGAACATGGCTTAGGTGGCAGCCATGGGCTGCCTGTTTTTGCCCCTGTCCTGCTGGAGCTGGGGGATGAGGAGCATGGAGGTCCAGTTTCTCCTCCAGCATCCCCTTGTGGGTGCTGGTCAAGAGCATAAGGAGAAAGGGGTGGGCAGATGCTCCCCATTCCTGGACTTTGTTGCCCTCCATTTTGAGTCAGTGGAGTGTTTTCAGGCTCTCTGAAGAGCAGTGACAGTGGGGATTGATAAGAGTTGTTTCTTCTTTCTTTGTCTTGGTCTGACAATGGCACTGACCCTTAAAAAATAACCAGAAGCAATAACCGTGGTCTGTGTGCTGCCTCTCCCTGTACCACCTCTTGCCTGGGAAAGCCAATTACTTGCCCAGCAGCTTGGGAGCAGTTTGCGTTTTGCTAAAGCTTCGTGACACAATTGTACAATATGTGCTATTCTTGGCTACCATGTCCAGAAGAGGGCAGAAAAGACGAAGCTGGGCATTTATTCACCTGTGACAGGGTCAGCTATCAAAAGGTGTGACTTTCCAAGTAGCTTGAAGCACCTTTGCCACCACCTGTCCTCCTGCCAGAAATACCTGTCACAGAGAACAAAGGCTTCCAGTCCACACTCAGATAAGACTAGAGTGCAAATATCCCAGAGAAAACAATGACCCTGGCCAGATTTCTCAACTTAGCTGTAAATGCCTGACATTACTTCTTTTCCCTGAAGCTGATTTTCAATAGGAGAACAGACAAGGAGGGAAAACAAGCTCCAGGGAAGGGCGTGAAGACAGCCTGCCCTCTTCTTGCCTGGTTGCTGCTCCCTAGTGGAAGTGTCATTTGTGTTGCTAAGGGTTTCTGGGGCCACGCAGGGCTGCTTTGGGTGTTGCCTTGCTGTGACCCACATTTGGAGCCTCTGGCTCCCACCCCAAAGACTCCAGTTTTGTACTGAGGACCCCACCTGCACCTCAGCTCACGCTCTTGTTCTCCCATTGAGGAAAACCACAGCTAAAGCCCAGGGTGTGCCCCTTTCGGGGGCTGGCTTTATGAAACTCATGAAAACATGTTGCAGAACTGTCTCCTCCCCCTGCCCCACCTTCTCTCCCTCCTCTGGCTCCTTCTCCAGGTGGTGCCACTCCACACAATCAAACCCTGATGTATACCACACCATCCTTCTCCTGCCACTTCAGTCAACACCCCTGACTCCCATCAGGATGCAGGAAATGAATCTTCTGTCTTCGGGGAGGGCTGGGGACCTTGTGACAATGCTGTCTGCTGCCACTAGTTTACACACATGGCCCTCCCGGGAGCAGTGGCCTCCTCCAGGCTGAGGGCAGAGTCCCTCAGAGCTGCCTGGCGAGTTTGGACGGGTCGCCTTCCTGTGCTCCTAGCCATTGCTGCGTGCAGACGCAAACTGCTTTTCTTGAGCAAGCAACGGTGTAGGGGCTGCTGAGGAGCCAGCCAGGCGTGGAGCTCTAGAAGTGCCCCCAGCAGTGTAAAGGGCACCCCACTTCCAACTCTCCCCATCAGCATCTCCCCTCAGGTCAGACTGAGCAGTCCACTAGCTGGGTTTCAGTAGCTGATTTTAACTCAGCATCAGCTCCAAACTCAGTCTGTCGGCCCTGGTGGTATTAGGTTACTTATTAAGATCCTCCTCCACTCAAGGTGGGAAGTGTGGATTCCTTAAAAATTCTTGCCTTCATCACTACTTACCAAAGTTTTTTTTTTCCCAGAGAACATTAGTTTTTCCTTCAGAAGAAGGGAAGGAAAGGGTCTCACTGGAAATGGGGAGTGAAATGGGGAGTGGTACCCATTCCTGGGCTCCTATTTACCCAAGTCTGGGCTCATTATCCTATTGCAGTCAGAGGACTTACTTAACCCCAGACTTGGTGAACCTGAAAATCCTTTTTCCCATCCTCTCTATTTGGGAAATGCTGAGAACAAAATTAATTTCTGAAGCGCAGCCATCCGGGGGCCTGTTTTCTTGTGTGGGCAATTAGAGTTGCAGCTGTCAGCAAGCCCACTCTAACAACTTAATCGCTTCCTCTCGCCTCGCGCCTCGCCGCACCCCTGGCCAATCCAGTGGACTTGGCAGTGGAGTGTGCCCATCGGGGAGTGTTCTTCAACCAAGGCCAGTGCTGCACAGCTGCCTCCAGGGTGTTCGTGGAGGAGCAGGTCTACGCGGAGTTCGTCAGGCGCAGCGTGGAGTACGCCAAGCAACGGCCGGTGGGAGACCCCTTTGATATCAAGACCGAACAGGGGCCCCAGGTAACCTACCGATCCATGTGTCTGCCTCGGGGATGCTACGCAGGGTCACTCTCAAAGGAAGCACTGCTGACTGATGCTGCCTACTGATGCTGCCTGCCGCTCAGGCCTTTGTTTAGAAGCCGATCGGATTTCAGCAGGGGCACAGGGCTTGGGAGGAGGCATCATCTCGGTGTGCTGTCCTCTTTCTGAGCCACGGACATCTCCAGATAGCCGTCTGGGCTCTGAGGCCCTCAAGCCCAAGTGCCTTAAGGCACAAGATGACCCTCAAAAAACAAAAGAGGGGCCGGGGTTTAGCTTAGTGGTGCCGCAGCCTGCCTCACAAGCGCAAGTTTCAGAGTTCAACTCCCAGTACCAAAAAGAAAAAAAAAACAAACCCCAAAGAACCCTGCAGGGAGGGCGGAAGGGCTGTGGGGATGGATGGGCTCCAGGCAGGCACACGTGTCTCTGCAGGCTGGTTTGGGCAGCCAAGGACAGGATGAAAATGTATCACTTTCTAGCTAATTACGAAGTGAAGCAGATGGGTAAATATTTGAGAGAGAGAGCAGTCTGACCATCCCATGCATTCTGGAAATGGAGCTCAGCAGCAATCCCATTACTTGTAGCCAAAGTCCTGCCCTAGCCCTAAAGTTTCAAAACACATGTCCAGGACTTACCCACTGGCATCTGGCGGGGAAGCTCCCTGCTTGCCTATTGCGCTGGCACCACGTATTTCCACAGGGAGCTGTGGGTCTGAGGTCAGATGTGGTTCTGTGGCTTTGTAGAAGTCATACATTCCGTTTACTTCTGTTTCCTCACCTGGAAAATGGGAGTAATGGAAGAATATTATGACAATTTCATGGTACTTAGGAAGTACTCAATACAGGGTAGTTTTTTGTTATTTTTCAAGGGGGAGGGACATTAAATGACAGCCCTCTGACCTAGGTGGCATGAAAGCCTATGGGACTTCAGGCTGTGTTCAAGAGTTTTGCCTAGTCATCTGTGGGGACACTGTGGTTGGGGAAGAAGGGATGAAGGGTGCTTTTCTGGCCTCAGTTTCCCCTCCCAGGCCCCAGCTCACATGTTCTGCAACTCTGATGCCATAGGAGAGAAGAAGCTTCATTTGTGGCCCCTAACTTGGCACCCAGTGGCATAAAGTAATCAATGGCCTTGGTTGGGTTTCAGATCTGAATGCAAACATGACCACAAGTCATTATCGAATCTACCATGATTTTTACAGCTAATCCAGAACCAGTGGGACATATGTGATTTGATCCCTGATCCTGAGGGCCCCTTTCTACCCTGTTATTATTTGTAAGTCTTTCCAAGCCTCCAGTCTTGACTTGTGAAGCCAGATACACGAAGCTGTCCCCAAAGCAGCTGCAAGGAGAACGGGTGTTGATTTCATCTGTACTTTTATGGCGCAGTTCAAAGTCCTTTTGAAAGCTCACTTAAGCTGCCTAACCTCAGCATATTATTTTAGGATGCTGTTGGTTTTATTTTTTTTCTCCCGGGTGCTTTTTCATCTACAGTAATAAGATTTTACTCTGAGAGGACTTACAGCTGTCTAAATAGTCAGTCTGTCTCATGCCTGTAAAAAAGTGGGCTGACCTATATCCGGGTCCACTGCTGGGTTGCTGCTTGCTGGAAGGCTCCGAAATCATCAGGTTTATTTGGCAAGTGAGCCAGCAGCCACATGCACATTACACAGGTCACCTGGCTGGGACAGGATCTGGAGGTGTCGTCCCTGGCAGAGAGCCGAGTGTAGCCGTGGGCCCGCCGTTAGGGGCCATATTTCCGTGTCTCTGGTGTTGTGCCCCTTCTTGTCATCTTTCCAGGCAGGCCCTTCTTCCTTTCTGTGAGGGACCAGCTGATAGTTCATGGATGATTGGGAGATCTGAACAGTGTGTTCGTAAGGACTCACCAGGGAGAGGAGTCAGATGTGCAGGATTTCCAGGGACAGATGAGGTCGTCCAGGCAGGACAGGATCAGCACCCAAGCAGGACCTGTGGTTTGAGGGAGCCCCTCGAGGGAGCCCTGTTGGCCCCAGGTAGAAGGAAGGAGGCTCTGCAAGCTCTGGAACTTTTAATCCAGGGTTTAGTTCACGCAGAGAAAAGTTGAGAGGACCCTGAGCTCTTACGGGATCCATTTGCAGTTGTCATTCACAAGTGGGGTACAGGAGAACACGCACACGGTCTGCTTCCCACTCCTGCGAGAAGACCCCTCCCCATCAATACACCCAGCTCTCACCCTCCCCCACCATAAGTACCCCATGTTCTTAGTTTCTGATGCATCCCTCTAGAATTTCTTTATGTATATACAAGCAAATATGTTATATATTATGATTTTTCCCCTATTTTTATGCAAAAGATACCATGACAGCTCTACTATTTTGCATCTTGTTTACTTTCCCTAATAACTCAAAGAGCTTTCTATACCTGTCTGGCGACACCTGTTTTATTTTTGGGGTTTTTTTTTTTTTTGCTTAAATTCTTTCAATGATACATTTCAAATATACAATACATTTACGTTTATCATTGGGTGCTTGTACCTGTACATGATGTATCTTGGTTCTTATTTTTTCCCCATTACCTGTGCGCCCTTCACCCCCTCCACCCTTCCCTATTTACATAGACTTTGTTTCTATTTTTTTCTTTTCTCATAATTTTTCTTTTCCCTTCTTTCCTTTTGGGGACACCTGTTTTGTTCTTTTTCATATGCATGTACAATTCTGGTGTTGAAAGTCACCAGGATTTAAATAACATCTTCTGATGAACACGTGGGCATATACATCACACACAATGCCCCAGAATAGGTGATTTCTCTCACACACACACAAACACACACATACACACACACGCACGCATGCACGCTCAGAGAAAGTCCATGGGAAGGGCTCAAAGTAGGTTTGCTAAGTGGGAACACATTTGTAGTTTCTGTAAGCACTGCCAAATTACATTCCATGGAGCAGCAGGCCCCACCTTTTTGGGACCAGGGACTGTTTCATGGAAGACAGTTTTCCACAGCTGGAGTTCAGGAAGGAAGAAGGGAGTAATTTTTGTGAGGATTCAAAAGAGTACACACCCTAGGTCCCTCACCTGTGCAGTTCACAGTGGGGTTTGAGTCCCTATGAGAATCTAAGGTCAATGATCATCTCACCTGAGGCGGTACCCAGGCAATGATTCGAGTGATGGGAATGGCTGTAAACACAGATAGAGTTTTGCTCACCCATCTACCTCTCGCCTCCTGCTGTGCGGCCCAGTTTCTAACAGGCCATAGCATGGTACTGGACAATGGCCAGTGGTTGGGGACACCTGTCATAGCGGATGAACCAATTTATACCATGTTCCTATCAGCATCATGCAGCTTGTCTGCTTCTTCAGCATTATCAGCAGATACGAATTCTTGTTCATTTGAGAGTTAAAAATGATATCATTTAATATACATTCTACCTTCCAAGGTTTGTAAGATAGAATACATTATCATACGTTTAAAAGACATTTATGTTTCTTTTTCAATCAAATGGATATTTGCTTTGCATATTTTTCTCTCATATTGTTGGCCACTTTTCTTGTCACTTCTAAGATGCTTTACATACACACTGCAAAGATTAGTTTTCTATGACGTGATTTGTTAATATTTTTTCAACTTGTGTTGCCCTATGACTTTGCTTATGATGATTTTGCCTGCCTGCCTGCCTGCTTCCTTCCTTCTTTGCTCCCTTCCTTCCTTCTTCTGGGGATTGAACCCCTGGACTCACGCATGTGAAACAAGCACTGCATCACTGAGCTATATCCCCAGGCCTTTTTCTATAAAACGTGGTCAAATTTATTAGTCTTTTCTTTTCTGGCTTCTGTACTTTGAGTCATAGAGAAGAAAATTTTGTAAGATCAGTCTCCCACATGAAAGAATTTTGTGGTTTCAGTTTGTATGCTTATATCTTTGATCTATTTAGACTTTTCCTGGAATAAGGTGTGAGGTACAGATTGATTACAACTGGGTCCATATATCATGCATTGGTCAGACAAGTGACCTGCCTGGTTTATATCTTCTCCTTTCAAAAAAGTCAGCCTGCTCCTCGGGGACAGACAAACAGTTATCCAAATGCACCATTGGATTTGCTTACTTTTCTATTTAACATGGTTGAAATGAAACCAGCTCTTCTATCTAACAGTCTCAGTGACAGTAAATCTTATTAAAGCTCTGTCTCTTCCGCCCAAGAGGAAGAGGATTGTCACCAGGCCCAGGACAAAGATCAGAGCTCCCACGGATTTCAGGATAAAGGCCAGTAGAGGAGACAGGAAGAGCACTGCACCCAGTGAGGGGTCTCCCAAAGGGGCACCCTTTTAACAGCTGGCTGTTAGCTCAGTATTAGGCTGTAGTACAAGGCACAGTCCAGCCAATGAGACTCATAGGCAAGGTAGCAAAGATGGAGCCTTTCTGATGAGCTGATCCCCCACCGGCCGAGGCACAGCCCCTTGCCCACATTGAGGTTCACATGGCTCTTTCAAAGGGTGCTGAGAAAGGTGATCAGCTTTCCTGCTCACTTCTGCTCAGCACTGTGAAGGGAGAATTCCAGTAAGTGTTCCTCTGATCCATGGAGTCAAGGTTCAGGGTGCAGGGCTGCCAGGTGAAATACATGACACTCAGATTTGAATTTCAGATAGACAGTGTTGGCATTTGTAGCATAAAGCATATCTCAAACAGTATTGGGGATGTATTTATGTTCAAATTGGTGGTATTTTTCTGAGATTCAAGTTTAGGTAGGCATCTAGTGTTTTTATTTGATAAATCCAACAACCCTAGCAGGATGCAAAAAAACTGAGAGAACAGAGTGTGACCACTTCCAATCTTGGTGCACCTTGGACTGGCTTCTCAGCATGGAGAATGGAATCAGACACAGCAGTGAACCCCAGTCCTGGAGAGGGTGGGAATAGTCTATCTCCCTGTGTCTGTCCTGCTCAGAGGAGCCCGGATCTGTGCATCAGAAGAATATCTGCCTGCAAGGCATACTCATTCCATGACTTAGGACTAAGCAAGAACACACAGGGCAGGGTGGCTGATGGTGCTGAAAATCTAAGGTGGTAGCCACTGCCACAAGGAAGCTGGTGACAATTCCTACAATGTTTTGCAGATCGATCAAAAACAGTTTGACAAAATCCTTGAGCTGATTGAGAGTGGGAAGAAGGAAGGAGCCAAGTTGGAATGTGGAGGCTCAGCCATGGAAGACAGAGGACTCTTCATCAAACCCACTGTCTTCTCAGAGGTTACTGACAACATGCGGATTGCCAAGGAGGAGGTAGGAGTGGCCCAGGAGCCCTCCAAACTGCTCTCCTCTGGGACCCAGCGGGCCCAGGAGTCTTTGTGGGGTGGGGTTTTCTTTTTCTATGTAGCCTTTCCCCTATCCTTTGGGGTCCTTAGGAGCACCAACTTACCACGAGCCTCTGGCAAACCCCAAGGACTGCAGAGTTCTTTCAAGACTCAGTTTCTGCTCACTGCTCCTGGTCTCTGGGGGGCAGGACTCCTGCCCCTCACTTCGTCATGCAGCCGGCTGTGGAGAGCTGTTGCTCTGGCTTCACAACCAAGGCTGCCTTCGGTCCCCCCAGACTGACCTTAAATGACAGATTCTCAAGAGTTGTGTCCCAGCTAGAATGCCCATTACATTTTCCATCCTCGGTATCCTTGAGAATGACGATTTACACCCAAGAGAGTGTAGATCTACCTTTGTGTTTCAATCCTACTGTGAAGGAGATGGAAGCTGGTTCCTGCACAGGATTTGTAAAAGAAGAGCCCAGTGCTGAGTGGGTGGGTCCTGAGAGGTGACCTGTGGAGCTTTGTAAAAGAATACACACTCTTGGGGGTTTCCTGGTACAGGCATCTTACAGACTTGCTTCCTGAGATTTTGATGGTTTATTAACCCTGCCATGGTGGCATGAAGCCCAGCTCTTTAATCATCCCCATGATGAAAGGTCCCAAGGAACCTGGGGAGGTGTTTACAGAGACAGGGCACTGGCGTAGTGAGGCAGAATCATGTCCAGCATTGATCAACTACAAGCTCCCTTCAAACTTCCCTTTTAACCCCTTTAATTCTTCCCTGCCTTTCCGGTGCTGTGTGGTAGACTGGAAACATTGTCCCATTCCCACCCCTGGGGGTTACCCTGGAAACCTTTCAGAGCATCCTCATTGGTGCAGAACACGGGAGGTCAGAGCACATGGTTCTGGAGCCCTACCTGTGAATCCTCTGAGATAACTTTACAGAAAGTCACCCCCAAGTTTTGACTTCTCTGTATCCCGACATGCATGGGTCACCCCAAGACTCTCAGGCTGGAGTTCCCAGAAACCCTGATGACAATGAGGAATGAGAAACACAATGTATTTTTCAGTTATCATTTCTTGGTTTTGTTCCATTTTAATCCTCCCCTTCCAATTTCATCCATCACACAGCTAAAAAAAATCTTTGATGATCTTTCTTGTCTAGTCATTGTTGCCAGGCACATGTGGACCCAGGGTATTTAGAAAAAACATAAAACCAAAGAAATACCTGCTCAGAGCCTGCATTTCCACCCAACATACCTCTCATAGCTGTTCTTGCAATTAATCATAGATTTTTGGACCGGTGCAGCCAATACTGAAGTTCAAAAACATCGAAGAAGTGATAAAAAGAGCAAATAGCACAGACTACGGACTCACAGCAGCCGTGTTCACAAAAAACCTGGACAAAGCCCTGAAGTTGGCTTCTGCGTTGGAATCAGGAACAGTCTGGTGAGTGGAGTGTCGTTTCAGCTCCGACTGGCTCACTAACAGTTTTGTAGTCTTCTGCTAACAGAGTTTTAAATTGGATGTTATATGCCACCCACTGTTTGAGCGCTTTGCTGGATCCTCATGACCACCTTCTGAAACGGGTGCCCTCGTAGTGTTAAGCACCTCACTTCACAGGGGAGGAAATCAAGACACAGAGAGGCTGGGTAACTTGCCCCAAATAGCACAAGTAGGGCTCTCATCCCTTAGCATCCACAGGGATTGATTCCAGGACCCCCTGCAGATTCCCAAATACATAGTTACGCAAGCCCCTTATAAAATATGACATAGTATGTGCACATAACCTGGGCATGTGTACTTTAAATATCTTTAGATGATTATGATACTTATTATGGATGCTAGCTAGGTAAATAGTCACTATACTCTATTGTCTGGGGAATGATGACAAGGGGGGAAAACCTGTACATGTTCAGTACAGATGCAATCATTTTTTTCAAATCTGTTCCATCAAGGTTGGTTGAAACTGAGAACCCAGAGCCTTGGTTTCAAAGAGCCAGCTGTGTGTAGCAGAGCGGGCTCCAGGGCATGAGCCAAGAGAGCAATGTATATATAATTTTTTTTTTGTACTGGGGATTGAACTTAGGATCTTGCACTTGTGAGGCAGGAGGCAGCACCACTGAGCTAAATCCCTGCCCAAGCGCACTGTATTTTAATTATGGTGGTACCTTGATTCATGAACTTAATTCTTTCCACAATTCTGGTCGCAGATTTGCATTGAAAGTTTTTCAAAGGTCGTGTGGTAGGCAACACTGCATCAAGTGCCTAACAGCTGGAGCACCCAGGATTCAGCTGGGTCTTCTCCAGGTAATTGTGAACATATTTTCACTTTTTTTTTCTAGGATCAACTGCTACAATGCACTCTATGCACAGGCTCCATTTGGTGGCTTTAAAATGTCGGGAAATGGCAGAGAACTGTAAGTGCTTCTGTCCCTCCTGGCCTGCTGGTGGGGTTTATAAGAGATACGCTACATTTGCAGCTCAGTGATTAGAACTCCTGCCCAATGGTCCCCCATCCCTCTGCTCTGTCCTGGGCCACTCTGTCACAAAGGCTTGTGGCCCCTTCCCTCTGGGGTTCCTCCGAATTCCTCCTCCCCTCTCTCCTCCTGCCCCCACTCTGCCCTTACCCTCCCTCATCCTCAGCCTGCCTCCTCCAGGCCCCAGAACCCACCTCCAGACTCAGCTCTGTGCCCTGCCCAGTACCTATACACCAGGGACATTCAGTACATCTTTGATACAGGCTCGAGGAGTGAGGACACAGTAAGGTGCACTTCTTGCCAGAGGTGGGATGTCACTGCCCATTTGGGTCTCCACTCCCAGCAGGAAGCAGATTCTGACCCAGGGACACGTGGTGGGCAGCTGAGCTTCCTTCTCAATGCCTCTCAGGAGGCATAAGCAGCCTCCTCCTGCTGGGCCTCCATGGCCCATCCGTGGGGATTCATGGACAGGCTCCTTGCATCTGGCCCAGGCCCAGCACTGGATGGAGTGTCTTGGGGGCAGAGACGCTGTGCCTTCCAGCTGGACCCTGGCTTCTCCTTCCATGTCCTTCTTGGTGCTGCTCGAGGTTTTACAAGCCTTTGTGGACAAACATCTTGCAGGCTTAATGTTCCCAAAGAACCATCTGTGACAATACCCCAGGGCTGTGCCTGGATATCTCTGAGGGCTCACGTCCTTCCTTTTCTTTCAACACTGTGTGTCGTGTGTACAGATGTACTACCTTGTTCTTGTTGCACATCCTCTAGGGGAAACAGACTTAAACACTTCCCCTCCGCATGGGCCTTGCTGGGAACTTTGGGTGGCTCCACCTCCAGATTCTTAAAGATGTTATGGGGGAACAGGGTGGCCACCAGCCCTGAGGAGCTGCTCTAGGCTGCTCTGCATGGTCCAGAGCCCTCTGCACATCAGTGTGACCAGCATCCCTCAGTCTCCTTTTCACTCCTGTGCCTGATTTCCCTTTCCAGGAACTTCAGTAAGTGCATGGCCTTAAGGACTCTGCAGAAGCCTCTTTCTTCCCCCTGGTGGCCTGTGTGTTTGTGTTTGCATCCTCTGAGCCTCTGCTCCGTTACCTCTGAGACCTGCCTGCTCCCCAGGGTCCTCCAACAGCATTTGCTGAACACAGACAAGTCCCCATGTGTTAATTCACGTCCTTCTGTGACAGTCCTTGAGGGGGGACAGCTGCTCTCAGATGAACAAACAGCCTAGGGAGCTTGTGACTGACAGCCAGGAATGACCACTGGCCACTTTGGTCCTTGGACTCCCAAGCATAGGGCCTTGCTAGACAGAGGTGGCCTTTGTAAGTCACCTGGAATGAAACCACCAGGGCCTGAGTGGTCATTCATCTCCTCTGATCTGCTGCCTTCAGTCAGTGAGGTTGCCAGGGATGGGGAAGCCAGAGCCACACAGCCCTCATCCCACAGGCCAGGCACGGCAGTGGGAACTCCGTCCCCAGCGCAAATGTTGGGGATGCAGAAGCTGCGGGAAGGCTTGTGGGGTCCCCCTGACACCTGCTTTGCAGGACCTCCCCCTGGTGACTCACTGTGTGGTTCCTCACCCCAGCCTCCCTTCCCGCCACCCGGCAGTGCCTGCAGCCCTTTCAGAGCAGGGTTAGGTGAGAATCCACTATGCACAGTCCGTATTTTATCCTGCTGGTCAGCCATCAGGGGACTTTTTAAATCTCTGTTTTTGGACCTTTGGCATGTATTGTCTCAAGACTTTTGATAAAACATTTAAAAATAATTCATAAGGGCACTTTCTTAAAAACCAATTTTCATTTTCTGTTGTCTCAAATTGCTGTCTTCGTGTTGCAAGAAGTTCCTCTTTGGTCTGCTGGAGCACTGTGAGGTGAATTCCACGGATTTCCCCATCCCTGGGGCACCCGCCCAGGGCCCTTCTGGGATCTGTTTCTGGGCCCAACCTCTTCTTCCTGGGCATTTTTCTTCTTAGTCTTTTGTTTTGCTTTGTAATAAAAGACAGTAACCAATATATCCACACAGTAGAAACATGTGGAGAGTCAAGGCCTTCCTCAGACTCATTTGTTAGAGGTAATTCCATTTGTTCATTCATTCATTCACTTGGCGAATATTTATTGGGCATCTTTGACATTGTAGGCATGACTAGGCTTTGAATGCACAGTTGCCAGTTCCTGTCTACTCCATATTCTTTTCTCTTCCAGTACTAGGGATTGAGCCCAAGACTTTTGCACTGAGCTACATCTCCAGCCCTTTTTTATTTGGAGGCAGGGCCTCACTGAGTTACCCAGGATGGACTTAAATTTGTGATTCTCCGGTCTCACAGTCCCAGAATGCTAGGATTACAGGCATGCACCACCACACAGCTCCCCTGATATTCTGATGAGATTTATTGGGAGAAAGGCTGGGCTCATAGTTGGCCTTCATTAGCAAGGGGGATGAGATTGCACAAGAACCCGTCTAGGAGCTGCTGCATTGGGTTGAATAAGAACAGTGAGAATTTGAAGTAGGACAACTGTGGAAATAGAAAGAGAGGAACCCGGGAGTTATTCTTACAAGAATAATTTTAATTCTGGACTTATTAGTTATGTGCTAATTCAAAACGATTGCAACATTCTATTTGCTTGTTTTATTAAGTTGATCATTAACAACTGAGTCTTTACAATGCAGCATTATGTATTTACTTTTAAAGCTTATTTTGCATTTTTTCTGCATATAATAGATGCAGACAACTGTGTCCTTTTCTGCTTTTTAATTAAATGAAAACTAACTTTTTCTCACAAGAATGGGTTTTGGGTACACTTCTCTTCTTTTTAGTGGTAATCTCTTCTAATCCACATTTGTTACTTTCAGGCAGTTTTTGCTCTTATAAACCATACTGATGTACTTCCCTGTGTATAAATCTTTCTGTATTTGTGGGAAATTATTTTCAGAATAAATTACTAGAATTGAATAGTCTGCCACACAAGAAATAGGCTCACCACCGTTTTGGTTTACATTGCTTTAACTGAGAGACTGAGTACCCTTTTTACAATTACTGGAATTTGTATTTCTTTTTTCTGCAAACTGACCATGTCCTTTGTTAGTTTTTCCACCTGGCTGCTTGTGTTTTCCCTGTTGGTTTTAAGAACTCTTTGTACCTTGAGGGAAACGGCACTCTTTCTCACACAGAGTTGTAAATTATTTTTAGTTTGGCTCTTGGAGTTTAAGTGGATTATCTGTTCTACAAAAGTTGAATTTAGTAGTCTGCTTATGGCTTTGCTGTTTTGTGTTATGTCTAGAAAAGATTACAAAATAATTCTGTTGTTATTATCATGGGTCCTTAAGTTATATGTTTTAGGAAACTAATTAAAAGCCTCAGTGGCACATTGTTAATAAAATAAGGATATTACTTTCCACTATTCACTTTTTACTTAGCACATGGTAGGTGTTCTGCATGGATTATCTCTAACTGTTAGAACTGCAAGGAGGTGATGATTTTCCCACATCCAAGATGATGAAACTGAGGCTCAGGAAAGGCAATGACTTCAAATAACCTATACAGTGCTTAGCTAGAGGTTTCTCCAACTTGGAAAGACATCAAAATCGCCTTGAAATTTGTGAACCACTGAGCATATTAGTTTTCTATTGTGCCAAACAAATTACCACAAGATTAGTGGCTTACACAAAATGCACCTATAATTTTATAGCTCTGTGGGATAAAAATCTGACCCGGTCTCACTGAGCTAAAATAAAGGTGTCAGCAGGGCTGCAGTCTGCTCAGGGCATAGGGAGAGGGTGCTTCCCTGACTTCTCCAGCTCATTCCATGGTCAGTGGCCTTTTTCCACCTGCAAGGCCAGTACTGTGGCAGCTCTCTGAGCCATGTCTAGAGTCTCGCTTAACTCAAACTCTTCTGCCTTCTTATGCTGCTTTTAAGAATACTCGGAATCCAGGATAATCTCGCTATTTTAAGATCAACTGATGAGTCACTTGGATTCCATCCACAGGTTTAATTCACAGGTTCGGGCAGTGGGACATGGATGCTTTGGGAGGCAGAAGGTTTTTTATTCTGCCTGCCCTCTAGGTCTGGGAAAGGCCTGGCCATCTGCATTTCTATCAGGCTTGGAGCTGAGGCTGATGGCACTGGTCTGGGGATCACAGTTGGGGGCCTCCTGATCTAAGGGATGAGGCAGGACTCTATCTCAGGTCTTCTAGTCCTGAGCCTCCAGGGGCACCTCTACTTCTACCTCTTTTCCTAACAAGCATTCATTTTCTTCCCCTAACGGCAGAGTACGACCTATAGGAGGATTTTAATCCAGCCAAAGCTGCCTCTGGGTTGTGGGAAGGGATTCTCCCCCGAGGATGACCCAGGATCCCTGGGAAGGCTCTCCTGGCCCCTCTAAGACTTAAAGACAGGAAAGATGGCAAGGACACCGAATCCAGGTCTGTGGCCTCCCCACGTCCGGGCTGGCCTCGCTCCTCTTACAGCTGGTCCCCAGCTGTGCCCTCCAAGGCCAACTTGAGGCCTCAGCGCTCTGTCCCTGTGGTCCCCTGGCCACATCATAAGTAACTGTGGACTTTGGCCTCTTGTCTTCTTAGTTGGCTCCAAGTCACCATCTAAGACTTACGTCCTAGAGTAATAATTTCTGCTCCCCACTCCTCCTTGTTCACCCACCCAGGCCCTCGCCTCCCAGTCCCAGAGAATTTTCCTCATGTTTGGTTTTTAATTGCCTTCATTCCTCAAAAGCGAACTCTTACTCTGTTTCAAAATCATCACACACCAGAAACTTGGTATTTAAACATTTCATTTACGTAAAATTATTAATGACGTCACAGTTCAGGCTGTTCCTCTAGCAGGGCATCACATTTTGCCCTTTTGCATAAACTCCAAACCCCAAACTGCCCCAAAGAGCACGATTTCCCCAGAGCTGCCAGTTTAAATGCTCAGTTTCAGTGTCCTCTTCTCTGTCCTCACAGAGGTGAATATGCCCTCGCTGAATACACAGAAGTGAAAACTGTCACCATCAAGCTCGAGGACAAGAACCCCTGAAGGAAAGGGGGCTCTCAAACACGGGACACCTCCCTTGGCAGACCAGACTTGCTGAAGGGAAAAACTACAGGACTGACCTTCCTGGAACACTCCCTTCCGGATACTTTCAGTCTACTGGAGCTGGGTTTTATTTTCCTCTCTCACACTCCTGTTTTATTGACCTGACTCTGGATGCCCATATGTTGTGTGTGAAATTGCAGTTCCACCTGGGGAGGGCGCTATTGGCCATTTCTGATGTTGCCTTTAGACCAAGTGTGAGAGACAGTGAAGATTCTCAGGGCTCTGTTAGCAAGAAATCCAGATGTCTAGCAGGGGCTTCAAGATGCTCTGCTGAATCCAACTCCAGTGAGAATTTGGAAAGTGCTTCCCACATGATCTGCAAGCCCCGCACCTGTGGTCCCCTCACGGTCACCTGTGCACAAGCCCCTCCTTGTTCTGAGGTAGGGGTGAGACCATTCCAGAGGAAAAGACTAGCACCAAGTTAAAAAGTAAGAAAAGGATTTTGAGGTTATGACGGGGAGATTTGGGGGAGCACATATCAGGCAAGGGTACCAGAGGCCCTGGGCACGCACAGGGTTGAGTGGGGGGGGCTGCATGTTGACATTGACTATGGGATTCACGCTGAAACCAGTACGGCCTTTGGACTCTGACCAAATTGACATCCCAAAGAGCTTACTGTAGATCTGTGATAGTTCACCTTAACCAAGGCACTTTCTTATGTGGGAGACATTGTCAGTATCACCATAGCTGCTGAGGACCTACTGTGCTGGCAGCACAACAACAGAGCAAATCCTAGGATAACTCAGTGCTGCATTTGGAAAATCAGAACCATAATTCACTTTTTCAAATTACATATTTTAGCATATTTGGTAATGGTTTACAATAGCCTATATACTTCTCCTTTTCTCCAGCTCTGTTATCCACTTTAGATTAGTAAAATGCACACACCTGGGAAGACTGCTGTTATAATTCATCCCCTTTTTTTTTTTAAGTTTTATTTTGGTATTGATTTCTGATTAGTTAACAAATAACTTCCGGATTCCATGGAGGAACTCGATCTTCATCCAAGTGATCTGAGTATTTCACTAACAAACTAGGAATTTTTCTTTTCCTCTTTTGTGTATCCAAATTATGGGCAATTCCATGCTTTAACTTAGAAAACTGAAATTATTCCCATATAGCTTTAAAAACAAAACCAAACAAGTTGTGTTATTCAGGTACTTTTACTAAACCAATACTTTCCTAACTGGAAAAATGGTGCTTATGTTTGAAGATTAAGTTGGAGAGACAATAATAAAGTGAAGGTCTATGTCAGAACCAATGTGTGTGTAAAGAAAATTATATATGAATTAGGATATCATCCTAGTCAGAGATATAAAATATGCAATTCACCTTCTTTGCTCCATCAGTGAACACATCACTTACACTACCAATAGCTTGTCAAACAGTATTTGATTTTCACACTGAATTTTCAGTATCCCAAGAAACTATAGACCCTAACCGTCATTGTAGTACCTTAGAGGGTTCCTACTCTTTCACTGTACAATAATGTCTTTAATATGAAATGCTACATTATTTATAATTGGTAGATTTAATGTGTCTTTTATAGCTGTAAGTACACAGAGGTAGTATATTTAACCTTCTGTAATATAATGTATTTAGAAATGAAAATCTATATAATGTTAGATTTCACTTCTTTTAAGGTTTACCCCTGTGGTATGGTTTAAAAAAATATCAGACTGGGAATTCTGATCCCAACTGCAGACTGTGTTCAACAGTGATAAAATAAATTTAGATATTTGAGAAATGTTTTTTTCATCAACCAAACTCATTTTAATTCTGTGGCAAGCTTTTCTCCTTCCGATACCTGCTGTACACTATGGCTTGTAATAAAATAGTATCAGCACCATAAATCAAATTATATTTCTTTGATCAATCACACCGAGTGCCCTGTCTGAATGTAAAACCCATTTTGGTGGCTTTGGGGGTTTCACGAGGTGGAGGACTTGGCCTCAGAGGTCTTAGGTCTTATGGCCTGAGTTTGAGGCATCACATAAGCTGCCCAAGACTACTGTAAAGTGGTAAAGACTTGAGTACACAAAATAGGAATTAAAGGAAGACATGGCATCCTCCCGCCATGAGCACTTCCCTCTGTGGCAGTCTAGGTATTTGAGTTTAACTTAGCAAGAAGCCTCCGCAGTCACCAAGTTGGGAGATGCTGCTGAGGCTAGATCAAAATATGCATTTACACATGTATTGATGTATTTGGGGTCATCTGACTTCTCAATTCAAATGTGAGCAGAAAAATGATAGAAAAATGACATTTCATTTATTTGGATTACCAGAACATGACTTCCTGAAGGGAACCATTCTGAGGACAATAGGATCACAGGATCTGGTTGTGTGTGTGTGTGTATGTGTGTGTGTGCATTTGTGCACCTGTGGGGGTGGGCATTTCCTCTACAGCTGGGCCCTCTGGAAGGTCCTAGCGTCTCCTGTTGGTGGATGAAGTCTTTCTAATGGATTTGCTCCTTGCTCCAAGCTTGACTTCTGCTTGACAATGGATAATGAGGAGTGTTTAAATTTCTTCTGGGGAGGAATAGCTGAGGAAACTGAGTACCCAGCTGAAGAAAGAACCCAAAGTTACATGAATCCAATGTGCCTGCTGAAGGCAAGACTGTTAGTTCAGGGAGGGACTAGGCTTCCCAGTGGCCCCTCACAGGAAGCGTTCCAGCTTGAGGCTGCAGAAAAGCTGAGTAGAACGTGAGGTGAGGGAAGACCTGGGGTGGGCAGGGGTGAAAAAAGTGGAAAGGAATCTTAACTGTCCTGTAACCACCTTCCTATGGGAAGCCGTGCCTATAGCACATCCCTAATGCACAGAGTTAAATGCTGGGGTATAGCCAGGTCAAGACAGGTCGTTCGTGTGTCGAACGCTCCAGACGTTTCCTACGTTGGGCGCGTTTCCTAGCCAATTCCCCCGCTCCTTTAAGTAAAGGCACGTAAGTCGCCCCACTCCGCGTGGGCTTCCCGCATCCCCTCTTGTGAGAGCTGGCGCGGGGCGTGTGCTTCCTCCCGGTGGCGCTAGGTGGCGGGGCGGGCCGCCCTCGAGGCGCCACCGGCGGTCGCGGGTCTCGCTCACCTCGGGGGACGTCACGCCCTGTAAAGTATCGGGGGCTTTTCGGTGGCGTTCAGATTGCTGCCCTCGCAAACTGCCATGAGAACCTCAGCGGGGAGAGCAGGGCGCTGGGCGGCGGGGAGCCTCTCGAGCACGGCGGAGCTGCCCCGAGGACCCAGGGCGGGGCTCCACGTCTCCGGCCGAGGCGTCCCGGGTCCCCAGAGGCTCTGCGGTCACGGACTTCTCTGGGCCTCGTGCAGGGTCCCGGGAGTACTAGCGAGCTGACAGGCACTTCCGGAGAGGACCCAGGCTGCCGGTCCTGCGGGGCGTGGGGCCCCCGCTTTCTCGCAGCACAATTCCCTCCCGGCCGCAGGTGGGCCGCGGGGCGCGGGTGTGCTGGGGCGCGCTGGTTATTGCCCCACTGGCGTGGTGATGCCCGTACTTCCACGAATCCAGACGTGATAATTCCCGACCTTCTAAAACCACGTTTTGTATGTCACTCCCCCGGGAAACAATCAGAAATGGTTTGCCAAGCCCAGCGTAGAGGCGCTGCCGGCAACCCCTGCACTCTGAGAGGCTGAGGCAGAAGGATCGCTTGAGCCCACGAGTTGGAACCCAGCCTGGGCAATAGAGGGCGACTTAGTCTCAACAAATTAAATAATATATATATATATATATATATGTATATATATATAAAATATATGATTCGCCAGATTTCAATATCTTTGCACACATCTGTGAGTAAATTAGTAATTTCGTGTGATGGAAGAGGTACACTTTGCACAAGATTAACTTTAATAATACGTATATTTCTGTACTGCTCTCTAAGGAGCTGGACACAAATCTGTCAGCGTTGCTCTACCACAGCAGTGTGAACGCTGGTGTGCAGTCTCCTCGCCGTGCGTGCCCCGGGAGAGAGCAGGTCACCAACCCCGGAGGGGACGCGGCCGCACCCCGGCCCGAAGGTCCGGAGGCTCCGGGGAGACCAGGGTCCCGGAGGCCCTTAGGACGCTAGGAGGGAACCCGAGCAACTCCTCGGTGACCGCCGGGCCTCGGGCGCCCGCTCCGGGGCGGCGACCCTCGGGCGGCCCTGCCCCGCGCTTTGCACGCCGCCCGCCCACCCGCCGCGCTCCCTCCCCGCCAAGGATTGAGGAAGTGCTGGGCCGGGCCGACGCGCGCCCGAGACGGGCAGAGGCGGGCCTCCGACCCCGGCCCGCAGCCGCCGCTCGGCCGACCCGCGCCCCGACCCCGCCGCCGCCGCAGGTGAGTGC